AGTGATGTTCAGGCAGATGTCGTCCCTGCCGCTGATCCTCCGAGTCCCGCAATCCTTGTTAGGAAGAATCACACACCAGTTCTTTCCGCATTTTGTGACGAGTTGATGTGTACCGCAGTCGCAGTCCTTGCTTGAACTCCGTTAGTCGAGACTTCCCGATCACCGCTCCTACTACCCTCACGCAGTGATGTTGAGGCCAGTGTCGTCCCTGTTGTTGCTTTTCCGAGTCTTACAGTCCTGGTTAGGAAGGACCACCCGCCCATTTTATCTTCTCTGAGACGCTTGGCGGGCTCAACAGTCATGCTCAAGTACTTGTACTCGAGGCTTCTCGCCGCTCCTCGTATCCTCTCGAAGTAGTGTTGTCGGTGCCGTGCCCTACTGCCTTAGTTGTACAGCAGTGGTTTTGCTCGACGTGCAATATCGAGGCTTCTTCTGTCTTGCGAAGTATGTCGTTTCCCTCACCCCCACAGCGCTAGATTGACTGCAGATGCAGTGATACTTAGTGAGTGGCTACGTGCATCAAGGGAGCCTACGGTAGTACCGTTCTTCGCGCTCTTGTTATCGAATAGGTCGACCCAATACTCTGAAATATCCGAAAAAACTAGGTTCGTCCGCTTTTATTCCGGTATCTTCTGATGCCGCAGAAGGTAGCTGTGTCGCAGCTGCCTGACGATGGCGTGTCTCGGACTTGTCGTGAAGTCCGTAGCTCGTGGTGTAGACGCCTTTATTCGTGGCTCATACCCTTTCGGGGATATGCGGTTGCAGACAGTGGTGGCTGCAAAGCAATATCCGTAGGCTGATGTGTAGCATACAAGCAGAGGTTTACACCGGAGTGCCGCTGCAGCTCGGTGTGTCTCGGAACGAAGAGACGAAAAAGATCTTGTTGTTACTGACTGACTCCACGGTCAGTTTGTTTGGATGATGCTGGTTGAGGAGTGCGCACAAAAGACGAGTGCGCATTGTGCTCAGCTCAAAAGAATGCAACAATGAAAACTATTCTACATGACCCCCAGATCTCCGTCTCGGCTGAACTTTTGGGGTCTCCAAGGCACGAAATAAAAGAATTCTTAACGGTCTACACCTGCAGTCTTCTGCACCCATGCATCCATGCCCTTGTAGATGGCTGCTACTACCACTAGCTCACTGTTGCAATGACTAGCTAGACCTATTACTGCTTCCTTAACAACTGGATGTGGCAGTCCACCTACTGCTGCCTGCAAAGCCTAGGTCTAGTTGCTGCTAACCCAATCGTCTAAATACTACTGTTGTGCTCTGACAGCGATAATTGGAGGGGATACATCTACTGCCTCTGAGTACGTGCTCTTGCCCACTGCTGAGTGTTTTACCTGCAAATCATACCTACTTACGGCTGGCTGCGCATTGCGTCATACAGAGGAACATCCCTGACACCCCACGTCCACCGTCCTTGTACACACATAAAGTAATATTTAGATACACGCACCGCCGGGCCCCGTCTCTCTCCCAGACTTGCATCCCCGGAATCGCTATTTTCTTCTCTCTTTCTCAATCTCTATCTCTCTCTCTCTCTCTCTGTCTCTCTCTCTGTCTCTCTCTCTCTCTCTCTCTCTCTCTCTCTCTCTCTCTCTCTACCATCCCTCATCTGTCCGCAATGTCTCTTGTTTCTTATTTCTCCGCGCTCCGATCTTCTACTTGATTGACTAGCCGACATTGGCACCAAGAAATAAAAAAAGGTCACGGTCCCGGTCTCGATGCTGCACAAACATATATTGCATCTCGACTGGGAAAGGGGGGTGGCCTTTTTCCTACCATATCTATCTTCGTGAACATATTTACTGCCATCGTCGATCAGTGCATGCAGCATACTACAGTTAGAGCCCGCATTTGAGAAATGCCAATTCGGATTCCAACCTTAATTCTAATTGCGTACGTTGTTCAATTTCCTATGTCAGTCTTCTTGTTTTTGGTGCTGCCTATTCCTGCTGCATTCGTATACCGGCATTTTCTTGTTTTGTCTTTCTTACAACACGTGTGTGCTACATGCAAGTTTGCCTTGCGCTGCTTTCCTGACCTCCCGTACTCAACCCCGATTCTCACCGCCGATGGCTGGTTGTACGTACGTACGAAGGCCATACCCTAGAAACGAAAATAATTCAGCTACCAACAACCAACCACAAGGTCCTGTACCCTTGAGTGAGGGCTGAAACTAATGCACTGCAGGGCGGGGGTGGGTAGCTCATGGGAGGGGAAAACAGAGAGAGCATGTTGCTGTTGTTGTTTTCTTCACATAAGAAGCATTCCGATCTCCCTACCCAGTATCTTCATCTGTCCGTACCAACTTGACGCGGATTCCAGTGGTCACAGGCTAACTTACTACCTAAAATATGGTACACTAAAATAAAATCGACACGAGGGTCCGTGTGTCAATAGAAATCAATGACCGAAAAGATAGCCTAGCACCCTCCGCTCGCCTCTACATGCTATGTGAGGTAAACATTGACTGGAAGAAAAAGAAAAATTAAAATTAGTAAAAAATTCAAGGAATACATGTAGGAAAAGAAAAAATGATAAAAAAATAAAGTAGAAAAGAGAGGGAGAAAAACAGAACAGGTTTTTCTTATTCGACACTCGACACACTCCCCGTTCCCCCCTCGTTTCCTGTTTATTGTTGAGTAGCGGTCGCTCCCGTTGTCCTATTTAGATATCTCTTAACTATTTTCCTATTGAGTGTTTCTTGTTGTGCGGCCAGAGAGAGCTACATTACTATGTATATACATTTTTTATGTATGTATGTAGGTATGTATGTATGTATGCATGTATATTTCTTTACCGTCTACTTTCTAATTTTCGTTTATTTGTTTCTTCAACGTTTTGTTTCTTAATCGCGGGCCAAATACATTGGATGCACCCAGGGGATGCACATAAGCCACGCACCGACACTTGGCAGTCCCGCCTTACAGACCTGCACGAGCACCGTGTACCCAAGAGCGACCTAGCCCTACTCCGAGCACTACCAACAACCTAGCACCTATCAACCTCAAGAACCAATCGAGCAGACTAACCCTAGATTTATCGCATCCTGCCAACCTAGCACTTATCCAAGCAACAACAACCTAGATTTTTTCCCATCAACACCAACCTATAGCGCGAACCGGCACACTAACAACCTAGAACTTAGCCAGCGCCATTGTAGCACGTATCGGGTGGGTTTGTTTGGGGTTGGGGTTAGCGTTAGAGTTCGAGTTTTAGCCGGTGTCATGCCTCTGCCAATTCAGAGAACCTTATATTTATAGAAATACCAGAATTGCTTTGGTTGTCAATCAGCTGGGTGCCGATTAAGGGACAAGAAGTGGTGTAACTGTAGTGGGGTGAGAAACTGGTTGAGGCTGCAAGTTATTTTTCCTGCGTGGGATATTTCCTTTTTTCGGCCTGTGATTGATGAGGGTGCATTGTTTTCTTACAGCATGCGTCCGCCCTGGGGTGCTTACAATAAACTTTGCAACTAATTTCTGTCGTGTAAATGTTCATGTGGTGCTCCTCGTTTATTTTGCGGGCTGCACGCGGATCAATCTATCTCGGGCCTGTGTTGTTAATTTTTTATTTTTGGTACCGATCCATCCTCCTCATCTCACTCTCTCTGTGTCACGTCGTCGACGATCTAACGTACGTCAAGAAGAATATGTTGTTGTTAGTTGTTGTTGTTGTTGTCTTCACATTAAAAACAGTTCCGTTCTCTCTGCCTAGTACCTTCTTCTGTCCGTACTACTAGTCTAACACTTGACGGGGTCGATTCTCGTGGTGCTGACCCAAAAGAAGGAACACGAAAATAAAATGGACCCGAAGGGTTCGCAAGCCAGTAAAAGTCACCGACAGATAGTCTAGGCCACTCCGCTCGCCTCTCTGCACTCTATGCGAGGTAATCCTAGATTGGAAAAACATAGAAAAAGTAAAAAGAAAAAGAAAAAAGAAAAAGAAACAGAAACAGAAAAAGAAAAAGAAAAAGAAAGGAAGAGAGCAGATGCAGAGAAGCAAAGGGAAAGAGAAGGACACAGAGAAAGACATGTAGTGTTTCGCTAATAATAATTCAAAGAAGACTGCGGAGACTGACTTCTTTCTGCATTGCTGCTTTTTGTTGTATTGTGTGCAAACACGACTATGTCTACCGTAGTCTATATCTATACCGTTTGTTTGTTGTCGTCGTCGTCTCTCGAAACAGAGGTCGTTGACAAATCAACCAGTCGGTCTCATTCTCAGTCAAACAAAATTATAGCTAGCTGTGGTGGGTGCATAGCTCTATCTCTATCTCTATCTATGTACAATGTTTACTTCTAATACATAGATTAACGCCACCGGTATATCTAGTAGTCTGACCTTGTAAGAGAACCATTTGTTATGTTATTATGCTGACTACTGATGACTGGTGGTATGCAAATGCAACAGCACATACATACGGGCCCGCCCGCATAGAGGCTTGAATTTCCAATAAAAATAAGAGAGTAGGGTTAACAAACACAGCACAGCGGTGGATCCGAGACTAAACTGTACTCCCAGCACATCTAACAACCTGTGCTCGACAGCAGTGAGTGATGATAGAAGAAACTAAAACTGGTATGCAAGTATATGTACCCATGCGTATATCTAACCTCGGCCCGATGTTGACGTTCGTGTCCATCTCTGGGCCCTTTCTGTAAATCTGTAAATACATAAGAGATAAAAAATTGACCGCGGGTGATGGACTGACTGGCGGGGCAGACAATGCTGAGACGTGGTCGACGGGTAGGACGGGCAGACAGACATAACCGGCACACAGGCACACCTTTGACGAACACGTGTTGGACACACCATTCTCAGGTCGGCATCAACAACGAGTTTTTTGTCGGGTGTACGACAGATAGGAAAATTAAAATATTTTTCAAGAACTGTAACGGTAGTAGTGATCTAATTCCGCCGCTAGCGACGGATGTGTGAGTGTGAGTGAGTGGGTGGGACACACAACTGCTGTGATGGAAATGTTGTAGAATATGGAAGAGCTGCAGGACGCTATCGAAGACGTGCAATACCTGCAAGCGGTTAACTCGAAGGACAGTGGTCCCAGCCCCACGGAAGCATGGCCATTCCCCAGCGAAAAGGAGCTAGAAGCATTCAACACGGCGCGTCTCAAAGAGAATGGGCAGAGCTTTTCTCTCGAAAGGATTTGCGGAGGAGTGCTCGGGCTGTACCTGGTACGAGCGAGTGCACAACCTGACCTGAACGACCACTTATTGCCAGTTTCTAGTCGACTGCCGTACTTATATCCCTGTTTCTTCCTCCTGTTCGTTCTCTGCTCGGCAGTTTGGCACGTTTTGCACGGAGATGGGCGAGCGCAGCAAATTCGAGTTCATGTTGGATGTGATACGATATCGGGTAAGAGGCTGACTGTGGTTTGCAGCTACAGTACTCTCGCATCTGTTAAGTGTATGTGCAGCCTCGGCGTACCGTATGTATGCCTCGTGTGGTTTGCTGCCCCCACTACCATCTATCTCTGGCCAATAAGGGTAGCCACCGCGTGTTCGAAGCCGCCGCTATGTAGCAAGTTTGATTTTTTTGGTGTCCCGTGATTTTTCGAACATTTTTGTGTCCAGGCAACACCGTTGTTCGTTTTTCGATGTGAGATACGATACTGCTCTTGGGTGAGTTAAAGCCTCTGCCCCACGGACGGGACGGCAAATGTTTCTTTGCCGTTCTACGCTATGTAGTTGTGAACTTGGATCAAAACGTGCACCAATCAAGCTACAGGATGACAAAACTTTTGGGTTTTTTGGTGTCACCGGGGTAAATATGTTGAAAAAATATAGCTACGTGCTCTCGCGCGCGCTTGCGGAACAACTAATGGTACCTTGTTTGTTGATTCCTTTGCCCCGGGCCCTGCTCGCACCCTCCCCGAGCAGCTGTCCGAATGGAGAAAGGCTGTGCCCTTCTGCCTCTCGTTCTAATCCGCGCGCTCCCGTTCTTGTACACATCTGTCCTCGATACTGCTGCAACTTGTCCGCAGCGATTACGCACCCCGCAACTTCGGCTGCGGTTTGCCCAGGGGATCATCCGGAAATTCCTCTTGGATGTCAGCACCAGCCAAGAGGAGGTGAGCGAGGTCTTGCTCAGGTGTGAAATTTGTGTCTTCCGCTTATTTTAACACGTCGGGGGTAGTGCTCCATTACCTACGAAGTGCCAGTCGCAGTTGAAGGACCGTACATGCTACGTAGGGTGGGTGGGGTACACAAAAGGGAAAACGGAGGTACATACAGTGTAGGAGGGGTCAACTGCGCTCTGATGAGGCGAATATCGACCATGGAACGCTCCGCGCTCGTCGTACATGTGCTTACTGCGACAACAGATGGACGTACTGGTCGACAAAGCACCGATACTGAGGCAGGATTCAACACCGGCGTGTCTCGCCGAGCTCGAGAGAAGACGATCCGACATTCGAACGGATGGAGGCGTTGGGGTGAACAGACTAGGTGTTGTCGGACCGCTCGTGGAGCAGCTTGTGCGACTGTTGCCGGTGAGCTGCATTCCAATAACGTGCACCGAGAGTGCTGTAGCTTAGTACCAATCATACCCACATAGCTGACTGAGGAACACCGGTACTGGTACGTTTTCACAACAGCCTGGCATCTCCTCACTCGTTCTACCAACAACTAAGTTGAGCGAAGAACAATTCCACGATGGTTACACTGTTATCATAATGTCGTGCCTTCTTCCCTACAAGGCTCCCATGAACTGTATCCCTCTCGACCGATTTTCAAAGCTCGATTACTCCACGCCGAAGAAGATGCCGAAATTGAAGTATACGTTTTCGGAAAGCTCTCAATAAGATGGTTCCAACGCCGCCATTTTCGGCACCGTCACTGCTTTCCCTGCCGAGATAACGAGCTTCGAAATATCGGTCCACGGGGTGTGCTATCTTACGCAACCTGCGGTATATAGTTCGACCTCCTTTGCTGCTGTTAATGCTCACCCCACTCGCATCTAGATTCGTCAACATTGTTGGTTTCGTACATTTCTGTGTGGCAGGGGGGGGGGGGGGGGGGGGGGAAAACCCTTGGTGGGTTTTTTTTTTGCCCCCTTTTTTGGAAACCTTCCAATTGGGGGGGTTTTTTGGGAAAAGATTAAAACCCGGGGGGGGGGAAAAATTTTTTTCTAAAAATGTTACTTTTTTTCCCCCTGGTAAAAAATTGTAAATCCCTGGTTGGGTTCTTTTAGGGGGGCCCCCCCTTTTTTGAAAAAAAAACCCCCCTTTTTTTTTAACCCGTTTTGGGGTTTCCCAACTTTGCGACCTTGGGAGACCCCCCCCCCCGCGAAGGGCCCCCAAAAAAACATTTGAAAATTGGGGGGAATTGGGGGGGCGGGGGGGGAAAAAAAAAAAAAGGGGAAGGGGTCTTTTTTCTAACCCCCGGAAAAAAACCAAAAAAAAGGCAAAAAACCCCCCAAAAAAGGGGGGGG